CCCTGACCAAGGCACTTTTCCCCCGATTGCTCAGTTTGGGGAAGAGTTTTGGTGGTTCCAAACTTCTTCCATTTAAGAATGATGGAGGCCACTGTGTTCTTGGGGACCTTCAATGCTGCAGAATTTATTTGGTACCCTTCCCCAGATATGTGCCTCGACACAATGCTGTCTCGGAGCTCTACGGACAATTCCTTGACCTCATGGCTTGGTTTTTGCTCTGACATGCACTGTCAACTGTGGGACCTTATATAGACAGGTGTGTGCCTTTCCAAATCATATCCAATAAATTGAATTTACCACTGGTGGACTCCAATCAAGTTGTAGAAACATCTCAAGGATGATCAATGGAAACAGGATGAACCTGAGCTCAATTTCGAGTCTCATAGCAAAGGGTCTGAATACTTAATACCCCATAATGACAAAGCAAAAATAGGTTTTTAGAATTTCTTGCAAATGTATTAAAAATTAAAAACAGAAATACCTTATTTACATGTGTGTAGATTGATAAGATTTAAAGAAACTAAAAATCAATTTTAGAATAAAGCTGTAATGTAACAAAATGTGGAAAAAGTGAAGGGGTCTGAATACTTTCCAAATGCACTGTAGATGTAAAATTGCTCGACTTAGATCTCCTCTGCAAAAACGTCCAAAATTAATGACAGATTTCTTGAGTTATCTTAGATTAATTCAGACTATTTTGAGAATGTGTATACTGGCTACAGCATCTCAAGATGGACAAACAGGATCAGGTCCCCATGTCCACATAATCTTATTAATTATGGTCTTAAAGGTTCAGCTGATCCTAGATCAGCAATGGGCACAGATATGTGTCAGTATCTGACTGGCTCTGCTGAACTGATTAAATGATCTGTAATCCACTGTCTCTCCCTACTCTGGCAGAATACAATTGGGGCCCTCTGTTTGATGGATAATCAATGGGGTTGATATATTACAGTAAATCTAGTCTGGTGACATGCTAACATCCAACGGAATTGCCATTATGTATTATTGATGATCTTGTTGAGGAGAGGCCATGAGTCTATGTACCGGAAAAAGCATTTAATCATGAATTTAGTATTCATTGTACATTTCCGTTTAGTCTTAGTTTGAATAGGATTGTAACATTCATTTTGAAATATAAGTGAGAAATTCAGTATACATTTTAAATTGTTTACAATAACTTTACGATTAGATATGAACAGATACTAGGCTTCCGAGCAGCGCTACAGGACTGAAGGTCCCCCAGAAAACATATAGATGACTGGGTCATCTAAAATTAAATTAAATGTGCAGATGTAATTGATAGTAATGCAATGACAAGTGCTTGACCTGACATAAGAGGCCAAGGTGAGTTCAGGTTGTGTTGGACAGATCCTGGGACGCCATTGAGGCTCATTGTTTCCTTCCAGCTGCTTCCACTGTTTACCACAGCCTCAACTATCAACAAGAGAAAGGTTTTGCCCTCTAATGTTTTTACCAGTCAGGCGGCCATGGGACTGAATGAGCCAGCCAAACAGGAAGTGTAATTAGCACTCATGGTCAAGAGGGAACGTTAGTAGCCAGAGACAAAAGGGGTCAGAGTTCTGCAACCCCGGGTAGGAAGGAGGTAGCAATAATAAGCACCCATTCCCTTCCTGCAGTTTGGGTGGAGTGGGGAGACGTAGCCCCTGGCCTTTCTGGGCTCCAAATGGCCACTAAAGTCCCCCAGACCAGAGCAAACCCATAGCAAACCCAGCATTCTCAGACACTATTGTGGCACCAATCTGCGTCATCTAGAAGGGTTTTGACCTAATCGGCCTCAGATACCTGGGGACGCCCAATAGCAAATTACCCGTGGCAGTAGAAGACAAGCAGAGATAACCTAAAAAGGTTATTGCGAATACTACCCATCATGCTTTCATGTTACTGAACCTACAACACTACAGATGGATAAGCAGGCAATTCTTCATATATCAAATTAAGATGAGTAGATGCAGGTTTAAAGGGGACGTTCACCTAAAATACATTTAAAAAATATTTTCTCTTCTTTTGTTGGTTGTTGTTGATTGACCCAGTTTTAAAGTCCATATTTTGGTTATTTGGTTAGTTCCAGCAGCATCTGTCTACTAGCGCACCTCTGGGCAGGGCTAACTGTAAATAGGTGGACATTTCCACCCCACAGTTAGTCAAGTTAGCCAGCTAGGTAGCTAGAGTTATTTACATTTATTTACAGTAAACCAAGTTAGATATCACTCCTACACTCTTTTGCTAAATACCAGTAACAATGCTTCATGAACATTTTGTCGATTGTGACGTATCCACTTACATAGCATATTCAAGCCTGCTTGCAATTTGCACAATGCATAGCACACACCTGTGTGAACCCACTCTATTACATGGATAATGTAAATTAAAGTCAGTACTTTTGATGAGTTTCATTTATTTATATAAAATCAGCAACATCTGCAGTTTTGATGTCTCTATCTCAGATATTTTCAATGGAAAGAGTCAAAGAGACTATGCTGTCCAGTGTGGCGGAGTGTGCCAAAGTGGAATCAGACCAGAACACAGACATACAATCTCCCCATGGCTTCTCTCAATGTGAATTGGAGGTCCAACTGTCCTGACTGGAAAAACACTTTATGTTAATTAAACAAAGGATTTCCTTTAGACAGGATAGAGGTCTCCCGTACTGAACTCTACCATATATTAGTTGGCAACCAGTCAAACCACTTTACGTATTTAAAATGTTTGAATTAACAATTTGTTCCCTTTGGCATTATTTCCAACAGGATGTTTGCCACCAACATTTCTCAGTCGTTCTACTGTTCTACTTTAATTGTGCTTAATGTAGTTAAATTTGATTCAGGAATTGAACAGGATGTGCTAATTTTATAGAATAACGCCGTGCAAATGGTTTCCGGGTAGTTTTCGAGATTCCTTTGAGACTAATTGAAATGGAACTGACCCTAACCTTAGCCTAGCACAAACAGTCATGTAGTACGCAATGGATGATCCTCTGTAGCTCTGTTGGTAGAGCATTGTTCTTGCAATGCTAGGATAGTGAGTTTGATTCGCAGGGCCACCTATACATAAACAAAATGTATGCATGCATGACTGTAAGTTGGTTTGGATAAAAGTGTTGGCTAAATATCTGGTTTGGCATGCTCCTAGACTTAATTTAAGCATGTTACTTTTATTTAGCAGACACTCTTATCCAGAGTGACTTACAGGAGCAATTAGGGTTAAGTTCCTTGCTCAAGGGCACATCGACAGATTTTTCACCTAGTCGGCTCAGGGATTAGAACCAGCGCCCTTTCGGTTACTGGCACAACGCTCTTAACCACTAAGCTACCTGCCGCCCCATTGAGGACACAATGCTGTTTTAGACTGATAAAGTTAGTGTTTGTATTATTGGGCAAGAGGTTGCTGGGATGCTCTTTCCAGTAGTTTATATATCCCATAGACACAGCAATAACAAAAGAAAACATTGTTTGATGTCCAAGGCTATTTTAGGGTCTGGTTTTGGGGAAAGGACATACTGAAGATTTGATGGATCCTTCCGCCTCTCAATGTTGTTTCGTGTTCTTTGTAAGTGTATGGAAATATGTGGTCTGTAGCCAACCCAGGGGGTATTGTTCATGTTGGGTTTTGTATACACTGGTGTTTGTATCTTTCCCTCCCATCCGCTCCAATTGGTCTGACAGGTTGGCAGATAAACATAAACATCTTGGTCGGATAAAATTGTCTTCCAGTAAATTATGTCTATAATGTTACAAGGGGGAGGGACTGTCAGCAGTGAGACTATTGTACTCACAATGGCTGACGCAAATGGGGACAAACAATTCATATCCGTCATGGATGGGGTACATGTTTTTTTTCTGAAATCAGTGGTGTGAAATTCAAAGTAGTACCTTAAACATTGAGGTCATCACACTTCATTCATAGAACCGGGGTTACAATAAGTATCCCTTCATTTTTTTAATAGAAGTATATACAGTACATTAAAAACAGCTTATTTATGACTTTTATGCCTTTCTCCTGACTAAATCAACATATTCAAATAACATATATTCGTGTCTGTTTACCAATGGCATTCAAGCCCCCAAAAAGTCTAAAAATGTAATACATGTCACAGTAGAAGCAGATCTTCTTTTATGATATATTACAATGCAGCTGCTGCTGGTAGAAATTATATTATACATACACTGAGTGTACAAAACATTAAGGACACCTTCCTAACACTGAGTTGCAGAACAGCCTTAATTCGTCAGGGCATGGACTCTACAAGGTGTCGAAAACTTTCCACAGGGATGCTGGCCCATGTTGATTCCAATGCTTCCCACAGCTGTGTCAAGTTAGCTGAATGTCCTTTGGGTGGTGGACCATTCTTGATACACATGGGAAACTGTTGCGGGTGAAAAACCCAGAAGCGTTGCAGTTCTTGACACAAACCGGTGCTCTTGGCACCTACTACCATACCCCATTCAAAGGCACTTAAATATTTTGTTTTGCCCCTTCACCCTCTGAATGCTGCACATACACAATCCATGTCTCAATTGTCTCAAGGCTTAAAAATCCTTCTTTAACCTGTCTCCTCCCCCTCATCTACACTGATTGAAGTGGATTTAACAAGTGACATCAGTAAGGGATCATAGCTTTCACCTTGATTCACCTGGTCAGTCTATGTCATGGAAAGAGCCGGTGTCCTTAATGTTTTGTACACTCAGTGTATATTGACATACCAGAACTCAATATGAGGAGACTGGGTTTTATAGCAGAGTTCCATTTCTTCTCCATTTTCCTCGGTGAGATTTCATGGATTACCCAGATACTCTGCAGATAAGAAGAAATAACAGAAATACTTGTTCAGTTCATTGTACTGCAGGCAGCAGATTACATTTCAATGTCATAATTAAATGTTCTCTCAGCCATGTTTAATTAAAAGGTCAAGAAACATGGTGATTTTCAGCACAAACACATTTATTTACGGATCACTTTGCTGTACAGGGGGTTTGAACTCACTCTGAGCCGGAGTTGGGGTTGAAATACTGCTGCAGCTCTCGTAAGTGTTGATTGATATTTGCTGTGGAAACAACAGAACAACAACATTAGCCATTGCCCATAGCATATCACAGTCTATATAAGAAGTGATGATCCTCTGTAGCTCAATTGGTAGAGCATGGCGCTTGTAACGCCAGGGTAGTGGGTTTGATCCCGGGACCACCCATATGTAAAAATGTATGCACACATGACTGTAAGTCGCTTTGGATAAAAGTGTCTGCTAAATGGCATATTATTATGTTTATATCAAGCCTTGATACTAGTATGTCTTACCTAAACTGTAACCGTTGGAGCTGCCCATGCCTGGTCCGTTCTTCTTTGCACCACCTGATGATGACAACGCACTTGACCCGGCACCACCCAATCCTGTCCCGCCTGACCCCCTAGTACCCACTCCTGTTGCACTTGACCCTGCCCCACCCATTCCTGTGTTGCCAAACCCTGTATTGCTGTTTCCTGTTGCAGATGCACCCCACCCACCGGTTCCTGCCCCCAATCCTGTTCCAGCAGTTGACCCCCTGTTACCGTGCCCTGTTGCACTCGACCCTACCCCGCCCATCCCTGTGTTACCCATTGCAACCCACCCTCCTGTCCCGTCTCTCCCTATTCCACCTGGCCCTACTTTACCTGGCCCTAACGCACCCGATCCAGTAGAACTTGAACTTAACCCTGTTCGGCCCATTCCGATATTACCAAATTGATTAGTTGAGTCTGGCTTGTTACCCGTCGCTAGTCCACCTGCACTACCAAACGGATTTGAAACCATCCCAGTTGAACCTATTCCAGTCAACCCAAACCCTCTTGAGCTTGACCCTGCCCCGCCAAATGCATTCCCAGTTGAGCTCGGTCCACCCATCCCAGGTCGGCTGCTACCCCAGGGCACAGACAGACCTGGTCCAGACATCCCTGGGCTACCCATGCTGGTCTGAAACATAATAAGACAAAGAGAATAATGTCCGGTGAAAATACTGTCATAAAATATAAGAATGAGTTATACATTATTTATAATTACAGATAATAATAGCACAAACAAAGCATATAACTTAAGATTACTTCCGTAACCGCAGTTCTATGAGAATATATGTGAGCTATCTCACTATGGCAGTGGTTCTCAATCCTGGTCCTGTGGACCCAAAGGGGTGCACATTTTTGTTTTTGCATTAGCACTACACACCTGATTCAAATCATCAAAGCTTGGGCTTTCAAAGCTAAGGCGGCAGGTAGCCTAGCGGTTAAGAACATTGGGCCAGTAACCAAAAAGTCGCTGGTTTGAATCCTAGGTGAAAAATCTGTTGATTTGCCCTCAAGCAAGGCACTTAATCCTAATTGTACCTGTAAGTTGCTCTGGATAAGAGTGTCTGCTGAATGACTAAAATGTAAAAAAATAAAATAATGTAAAGGATGATGAGTTGCTTATTTGTATCAGCTTTGTAGTGCTAAGACAAAAATGTGCACCCCAGGATTGAAAACTGCTGCACTATGTCCACAAGCTTGAAGTAAGCAATCACACAGTGTCTGTGTCAGACAGGTTGAGTTGTGAATGAGGTGAGCCCCTCTCCTCCATAAAGGGAGTCGCCCGCCAACTGGTCATTATTGCACTTTTGCGAGCAGGGAAAAGCGGTGAGACATCTCACTCATTCTCATAGAACTGGTGTCACGATCGTCGGATATAGAGGACCAAGGCGCAGCGTGGAAGGTGAACATACTTATTTATTAAATGATACACGAACAAAACAACAAATCGATACGTGACGTCCACAGGTGCAAAACACAAACCAACACGGAACAAGATCCCACAAACACTGTGGGAAAACCACCTGACTAAATATGGTTCCCAATCAGAGACAACCAGCAACAGCTGATACTCGTTGCCTCTGATTGAGAACCACTCTGGCCAACATAGATATACAAAAACTAGACTAGACACAACGAGCACAAAACATAAACTCTACACACCCTGGCTCAACTTAAAAGAGTCCCTAGAGCCAGGGCGTGACAGTACCCCCCCCTAAAGGCGCGGACTGCGACCGCGCCTAAACATCACCGAACAGGGGAGGGCTGGGTGGGCATTCCTCCTCGGAGGCGGTTCCGGCTCCGGGCTTGACCACCACCCTCTACTAACCCCCCCGTAGTGCCCCTGGTCTGGTCTAGCCCCACTGGCTGGAGCTGGACTGGACGTCGGTGGAGCGGATTGCTCAGGCTCCGGTGTGGAGCAACTGACCGGTACCTGACCAGGCACCGGTGAAACGGGCACGGGCTGGCGATGCGCACCACAGGTTTGGTGCGGGGAGCAGGAACAGGCCGGACCAGGCTGGCGACGAGCACCATTGGCTTGGTGCGGGGAGCAGGAACAGGCCGGACCAGGCTGGCGACGCGCACCATAGGCTTGGCGCGATGGACAGGAACAGGCCGGACCGTACTGGGAACACACACCACTGGCCTTACACGGGGATCAGGAACGGGCCGGACCGGACTGGCAACACACTTCCGTACCTCTCGCCGTGCCTCTACATTTTCCTTCCCTCTATACAACAATGGCTCCCGTAACCCGGTGGCCTTCTCTCTCCGTCCACCAACTCGCCCCTTATCTGCCTCCAGTGGCCCCGTCGTCCCTGCCATGTGCCCCCCCTAAAAATTTATTGGGGGTGCCCCTCGCCTGTCCGACGACTGCCCGGTTGGCGCCGCTTCTCCTTTCCTGCCTGGGCACGCTGCTTGGTCCTGTATTGGTGGGATCTTCTGTCACGATCGTCGGATATAGAGGACCAAGGCGCAGCGTGGAAGGTGAACATACTTATTTATTAAATGATACACGAACAAAACAACAAATCGATACGTGACGTCCACAGGTGCAAAACACGGAACAAGATCCCACAAACACTGTGGGAAAACCACCTGACTAAATATGGTTCCCAATCAGAGACAACCAGCAACAGCTGATACTCGTTGCCTCTGATTGAGAACCACTCTGGCCAACATAGATATACAAAAACTAGACTAGACACAACGAGCACAAAACATAAACTCTACACACCCTGGCTCAACTTAAAAGAGTCCCTAGAGCCAGGGCGTGACAACTGGGGATACGTAAGTAACCTTAAGTTCTATTTCAAATACTTGTTTTGATGTCTCACTATGGGATAGGGCCAACTCCCGTAACGCAGACATGCTCTCCGAAGCAAGGGTAGTTCCAACAGCATCACCCCTCAGAGACTCCGACACTGAGTGCCGTTTTAACAAGAGTGAACATTTCCTCAGCCGCTCATTCCAATAGTGAAAGTAGAGCTGACAAGTGCCCGAATGCATGAACCAAGCGCAGGTAGGAACGGGACGAAGAAAAAACACCAGAGCGTGGTAGACTTGAGATAGCTGTCTTTCTTTTTCCTCGGACCAGAAAGTACGAGTAATGGAATACTGTACTGACTGTCGTATAGCTCGATAGAAATCGTTTATTATCAACAGAGCTAGTTGCCATAAGATTTCCCCCAGAAGATCCAGAGAAACCCAGTGGGTTACGGCTTGAACCACAGAAACCTGTTTCCCTGTTTGTCATATGAAAACGCGGAATAGTGTCAGTTCTCTTCCCTGCCTTACCCACATAGAGTGATGGCACCTCCTGGTGGTAATACCGAGGAGGTGCCCACTTGAGCCTGTTTAAACTGTGTTGCTCGCGCAATAGACAGTCGATAAGGCAAGGGAAATGGGGAGCCATGGTTAAAAGTAGAAGAGACCGGAGGGAGAATGGACATGCTGACTGTTGTCCTGGCTTAAAACCTGATAAGGTGCCGAGGGGATAGCCGAAGGGGGGGAATGGCACTTGGGGATAAGAGTGTACATCCCCCATTTTCGCATGTGAGTGAAGACACAAAAAAGCACTGTTACACAGGGAAGACGTTGTTTCCCCCAACGTAGACGTGCCTCCCTGAGGCAAAGGGATGGCTTACGTTAAACCAGAGAGGGAGAGGATAGGGCAAGAAAGCCGGAGGCTTTGCACACTATCCTCCTCTGCCACATAGGGCTGTGCCCTAGGTTGTCCGACCAACGTAGACGTGCGCCCCCCCACTCCCCCGAGTGGAAGGCAAAGGGTGGCTATTTGAAGAATATAAAATATATTTTGATTTGTTTAACACTTTTTTGGTCACTACATGGTTCCATATGTGTTATTTTATAGTGTTGATGTCTTCACTATTATTCTACAATGTAGAAAATAGTAAAAATAAAGAAAAACCCTGGAATAAGTAGGTGTGTCCAAACTCTTGACTGATACTGTACATGTAGCAACTGAAATAGACTATTCACCACCCGCCCACTGTTTATTCTGTCTAGATCTAAAGGTCGGCTACAGGTGGAAATTAACATTATACCTGCCATACACTTGTCATGCACTGTGCTCTTCCACTACGACTCTATCATAGTCCGTCCCTTGCATCCCCAAAACATTTGTAGTACAGTTTAAATTCTGCTATTACAGTCCTTGGCCTTTCTGTAGCCTACGATGTTTTCAAATATTTGATTTTGTGTTGGCATTGGATGGGACAACCTTTTTTCTCTCATAAATATATTTATTTCTATATACAGTATACCCATTTTAATCAGAGCTGGACGCAGTATTGGACTATGGCATCTGACCACAGAGCTAGTATGCACTTGGTTTCTAATTAAGACCATGATCTTAATTCAACTGGCTGATGTGAGTTTTTTGAGAGGGCGGGACAACCGTGATGTTGGCAAAATGTATACACTTTGGTTTGGATTCGTTTACATTTCAAGGATATCCATACAAAATGTATTTTAATCACAATCAGATCACAATGCATCTTTTGTCTACACAAATGTGGGCACAATCAGAATGTGGACAAGATCTGTTATCCATCCACTGTGTCTGCATTGTGACCAGATTTCCTGTTCCCTTCCTTCATGGAAATTATTTCACAGCTATTCTTTCCCTTTAAGAGTGTGCTCCTAATCACAGCTCGTTACCTGTATAAAAGACACCTGGGAGCCAGAAATCTTTCTGATTGAGAGGGGGTCAAATACTTATTTCCCTCATTAAAATGCAAATCAATTTATAACATTTTTGACATGTGTTTTTCTGGATTTTTTTGTTGTTATTCTGTCTCTCACTGTTCAAATAAACCTACGATTAAAATGATAGACTGATCATTTCTTTGTCAATGGGCAAACATACAAAATCAGCAGGGGATCAAATACTTTTTTCCCTCACTGTATTTATTGTAAAACACATACTGATGTAATCAGTCAATGGTGCCACCTGTCAATGATTTTAGAGGGTGGAAAAAATTATGATTGAAATGGTTTCTCTGTCCATATCTGTCTACACTTGTAAGATATCCAGACACAATGTGTGTCTGACTATCTCCGGAGGTGGGCAGGATGATCTGATCACAATCAGATCCCAATGTGTCTTTTGATTGTCTACACCTGTCAAAAAAATTGGGCACAATCCGAATGTGGACAAAATCAGGACAAAGGACGCAAGTTAGAACCAGGTATAAACAGGGCTTTAGACTGATAGACTATATTGACCTGTGGTATAACTACGGAGCAGAAAAGCATAGTGCATAAGGGAAGTACCAAAACACCTTGATATAGGGAATGTGCATGCAAGCAGATGCAGAAATGTGGTTAGGATGGAAGAAATTATATAGTAAAACCTGCAAAGATGCACTACCCTCCCCTGTGCCCAATAAAAAAAACACACAACCCTTCCCAAAGAAAAAACAAAAGTTAGACAACCCTCCCCTATTTTGGACCACGCCCCCACCTGGGTAAATTTCGTCTCTTAGTTGAATGCATTGACTGTAAGTCGCTCTGGATAAGAGTGTCTGCTAAATGATCATACACAGAGATATATTTATTGAAGAAAAATCTGCCATTACTTAAATAGATTTTCTTTTTTTAAATGCTTGTATTAAATTAAGCCAATTTAGTGCAATGTAAAGCACTACATCCTATCAAGTATAGGTTTCATTTTCAACTAATGTATTTTCCTAGAAATAATTGTCATAGTAAATCTCATTTACATGATTAGATCTTTTGACCAATGTCTCAAGTCCATCCCTACACCAATGACAGAAACCATTTCTGGCCTCAGTTTGACTTCTAAATCATTTTCTGTGTATATTTATCGCCACTTATCTCTGACCTGGATGAAAGCCCAGTACTAAACCACACAATAGATATTCCCTTACCTTGGAGCCACAGTTGGCCAGGGAAGTGTTGAGGTTCCTGATCTTGTCGTTGAGGATTTTGATCTCGCCCTCCTTCACCTTCATCGCTGTCTCCCCCAGCTCCTTGTCCCCCTGCAACCTCCTGCGGTCCATCAGCAGCTTCTCCATCTCTCGATCGTATTTCTCCTGGGTCTTCTGCAGCGTTTCTTGGTGCCCCAGGGCCATGGCGCTGCGGTTGAGGCTGCACCAGCGGTAGTCCTCGGCCAGCCGGTCTTTCTCCGCCTGCAACCAGGCGCTGCGGCCTTGGATCTCTGACACCTGGGTGCCCACGTTGTCCAGGTAGTGCTGGAACTTGGTCTCCACCTCGCGGGACAGACTGGTGCAGTTGTTGCGGATCTGGTCCAGGTGGTCGCGCTGCTTCTCGCAGGTGAGCAGGAAGGGGCTGACTTTGGGCAGGAGTGTGTCGATTTTCAACAGGAAGGCTTTGGAGACGTTGGAGATGCCGCTCAGGGATTGGACGAAGTCCTCCTTGCACTTCTTCCTGTAGCTCTCCAACTGTGTCTGCAGGGAGGTCTTGTCCCTCCGGAGGGAGATGGCCTCCAGGGTGAGAGTGTCCCGGTCCCTGGCTGTGTTGTCTATCTCAATCCTCATGAACTGCACCGTCTGACTAAAGTTGGTGCTCACTAGCTTTAGCAATTGCTCCAGCCGCTGGACCTGGTTTTCTTGCATATTGTTGTTGTTGCCTTTAAACGTTTTTGAAGAAGAAAAAGAAGAATGAAAATGTTTTATGTTAATACTTCTGAACAACGATCAGATTTGATCCTGAATTCAATCCGAGGAGCACTGTCAAAAATGCGCCTTTTAAAGGCAATGTTCCTGCATTGCAGAGATCATATTCACAGTAAACACTGCAGATGTGGGCTCAACAAAAAATTCCCTTTAAACCAAACAAGGCGGCTTGGATTGAACCCCAGCCCTGTGTTGGTTTTAAGTGAATTCAGAATGACGAATAAATCATTTAAATGATAATTTCACTATTTGTATTCTTACTACAACAACAAGCATTTTCCAAAAACTGTGAAGACAAAAAATCATTGCAAAGTTGTAATTTGCACCTTGCTTATTCTTGTCCAAAGAAGTACCAGTTAGGAAAGCTAGGTATAGGAAAGCTCATCTGTGAATTATAAGGATGAGATTCTGTGTGGACGTTTGAACATGTGTAACACTAGTGCAGAGTAGAGCAATGAAAGCATTGGTTCGTCTTACAGTTGTCTTACCATTTGGTGGCATCGCTGGTGTCATGGGTCTGGAGCATCGGTTCATGCTAAGTTGAATCTGACAGCTTTTCTTATCATTATCACACTGAATCTGTGGATATTAATAACAGATATGCATCACATTTTGTCAGCCAAATAACATTTGAGTGAAAGTTTCACCCACTATATACAGTACATGCACATTATTGTTGACACTTATTTTATACATCTATTTTATACAACTGACAAACTTAAATCTGAACATAACTAGTGATTGTTAATGTTTATGACTGTAGTAACACTGTTTTAACCTTTTCAGGTATATATTTGCTGAAATGAACGGATATAATGATCGCTGAAATAATGTATATGATATGCATAATAGACCTGAATATAGTGTGTTTTTTGTTAGGTGTGTTATTTCATGTTCAATTACACTCAAATGAAAAATAATGTAGCATGTTTTATTTGTCTATCCACTAATACAACTAAACTGACATTTTAATATTCAATAAACCAATTACTGTGACCCCACTGTATGTATTGTACTGATGTCGTTGTGTTGAATATAAAAAATGAACCATTCTCTAAAGTATTTCAAAATATCTAAAACATCCACCACAACCCTCTAGCATTGATCTCTGAACCAGTCTCAGCTCTTACCGCTTGGTCTCTGAGATTGGTGATGAATATGCCAGACCTGTTTGCCATTTGACGCAGATTCATCATCTCCCTGTTGTTGCGCATCTTGTCAGTCTGAGTGGCATTCAGGAGAAGCGTCAGGTTCTTTCCATGCTGCCGGAGGTTCATGTTGTTAATGGAGAGCCGGTTGAAGCTCTTCTCCAGGTCTTGGACCCGGCTCTCGGCTGCCGCGTCCAGGGACCTCCCGTAGACCAGGAAGAGAATGAGGCCGACGATGATGAGCGACTGGATCAGAGAGGAGAAGAAAAACAGAACCTTCATGTAGTAGCCGCAGCTCTTCCCTCTGGGCTTCTGGATCTTCCTCCTGGCCTCCAAGCCAAACTTGGCCTGGGAGTAGCTGCTGTTGTACATGGGTGCTCAGCCTCTGAGGCACAGAACAGTACAGCACACCCTTACTGAGAAACAGCCAAGCCCAGACAGAACTAAGACGGTTCAAATGGGTTCCACTTCTTGAGGACCAAATGAAATACCAAATAAATAGAAAAGATGTGAGATATCTTAGGCAAGCAACCAAACTCAGTCCCTGGTAGTGGAGTGGTTTGGAGATAGTATCTGACTTAAGTGACACAGTGGCAGCCCAAACAGCACTCTCCTAAGCGTTGTGTGAGAGTGAGAAGACAGGATTGTGTAAACATCGTCAGGAGTTTTATAAACGCCTCGCCACACTTCCCATTCTGGGAACTTCTTCCTGATCCCCTCCCCACCCCTGGACATCATGTCAGGGGTTAACATAACATTACGCACACACAAACACATACATATAACATCATGCACAAACACACACGCACACGCACACACACACACACACACACACACACACACAGGAGGTGGTTCAGACCATACTCACACATTGTTTTTTACCCCTGGCCCCCTGTGGTGTCAGCCGCCCCTTTGTTTGACAACATGTCAGCACATGTGACAAGAGATAGTGGTCCTGAAATTACATGCTCCAAAGAGAGGAAGAGATAATAATCTTAGGAAAAGTCTTCGGGTATAACAGTCCTAAGTACTATTTAATAAGGTGTACCTACACTGTACCAGTATATGTACCTAACATAGGTTTTAGGGACTCAATCAAGGGTTTTTCTTTATTTTACAATTTTTTACATTGTAGAATAATAGTGAAGACATCAAAACTATGACATAACACATATGGAATCATGTAGTAAACAAAAAAGTGTTAAACAAAACAAAATATATAAACAAATCAAAATATTTGAGATTCTTCAAATAGCCACCCTTTGCCTTGATGATAGCGTTGCACACTCTTGGCATTCTCTCAACCAGCTTCACCTGGAATGCTTTTCCAACAGTCTTGAAAGAGTTCCCAAATATGCTGAGCACTTGTTGGCTGCTTTTCCTTCACTCTGTGGTCCGACTCATCCCAAACCATCTCAATTGGGTTGAGGTCAGGGGATTGTGGAGGCCAGGTCATCTGATGCAGCACAAAAACATTCTAAATAAATCACAGGCAGTGTCACCAGCAAAGCCCCACCCCCCCCTCCAAATGAGAGCCAGTTTCATCATAGCGGTTGACGGTTTTTGCGACTGCACTTGAAGAAACTTTCCGGATTGACTGACCATGTCTTAAAGTAATGATGGACTGTCATTTCTCTTTGCTTATTTGAGCTGTTCTTGCCATAATATGGACTTGGTCTTTAACCAAATAGGGCTATCTTCTGTATACCTTGTCACAACACAACTGATTGGCTCAAACGCATTAAGAAGGAAAGAATTTCCACAAATTAACTTTTAAGAAGACACACCTGTTAATTGAAATGCATTCCAGGTGACTACCGCATGAAGCTGGTTGAGAGAATGCCAAGAGTGTGCAGAGCTGTCATCAAGGCAAAGGGTGGCTATTTGAACAATCTCAAATATAAAATATATTTTGATTTGTTTAACACTGAATTGGTTACTACATTATTCCATATGTGTTATTTCATAGTTTTGATGTCTTCACTATTATTCTACAATGCAGAAAATAGTAAAAATAAAGAAAAACCCTCGAATGAGTAGGTGTGTCCAAACTTTTGACTGTTACTGTACATGTTCACACTCTTGACATTAACCATTGTTCTGACCTTTGTTCTGACCTTTGTTCTGACCATTGTGCTGACCATTGTTCTGAAGATATAATTGGTTCTGAAGATTTGATCTGTATATATTATCTTCCTCCATAACTGCCTTTCTCAAAATGACACATTGTAAAGACCTAATTTCCCAAAACAATACCACATTTTTTATGGGATCATTAACATAGTTTCCGGTCCACGGCTCCACTAGTTAAGTGACAGGACAATAGTAGGCCTACACGTTGTTCCACAAAAATTCTCATCAAAAATCAGAGCCAGCAAGCCTTTGATACTGTGCGTCTCAACCCAACTTGCTGACGTGGGCAGCCATTGTTGCCGTGCCAACCCCCGTCTTTAGAGGAAGCAGTAATTCATCAAGGTATTAGAATTGGCCATTTCCGAGTTTTTACCATCAGGACAGATCACAGATAAAGCTTGGGAACAAAAGCAGGATATCAGGGACAAACACAGAAGTACACACAAAATGTTGAATATTGAGATTGAATTGGGTTGTTTATTTGGAGCATAAACAAACGGTATTCTGGTCAATGCTGTTAGAATAGAATTTGGGTTCGGACCCCGTGCGTAATAAAACGTGCATCCCCTTGGTTACCTGTCTCCTAGAATTCTATTCTGGCGACTCAACTCCTTCACTCTAATGTTGTAGACAGCCCTTTAGGACTATCACAGAACATGTTATAGTTTTCAGCCTATAGTTTCCACCTAGGAATACAGAGAAGGAACTGCCAGATGTGTCATAATAGCCCAGAAGTAAAGCCGCACTGGGAGCCAAACTTAAAATGGAATACATTGAATACATGGAGCAGGGTAAAAAATCTAATTAAAACACGATTTAAATGTATTTTCGGAAGGGCTGTGGTCCCCATTCAATTAATACATTAAATATATACAGTGCCTTCAGAAAGTATTCACACCCAATGTTTCCTCTAAACTGCACATGCGCGGGCACGCAGCTCCCCAGGGACTGGCACTCAGAAGAAAATCAGCCTATGCAGAGAAGCACGAGATTAAATTTCACTCAACTTTCTAGAGTTTTCCCCGTTAGTTAACACTATCAACTTTTCCCTTTACTGTGGGAATAGTGATCGAATCACTGCAATATTAGCCACTTTCAACGCAACATACCGAAACAAAACAAACTATGCAAGACATTTCCTTTTTTTACCCTTTTCGGAGGACAAATATATACAGTGGGGAGAACAAGTATTTGATACACTGCCGATTTTGCAGGTTTTCCTACTTACAAAGCATGTAGAGGTCTGTCATTTTTATCATAGGTACACTTCAACTGTGAGAGACGGAATCTAAAACAAAAATCCAGAAAATCACATTGTATGATTTTTAAGTAATGAATTTGCATTTTATTGCATGACATAAGTATTTGATACATCAGAAAAGCAGAACTTAATATTTGGTACAGAAACCTTTGTTTGCAATTACAGAGATCATACGTTTCCTGTAGGTCTTGACCAGGTTTGCACACACTGCAGCAGGGATTTTGGACCACTCCTCTATACAGACCTTCTCCAGATCCTTCAGGTTTCGGGGCTGTCGCTGGGCAATACGGACTTTAAGCTCTCTCCAAAGATTTTCTATTGGGTTCAGGTCTGGAGACTGGCTAGGCCACTCCGGGACCTTGAGATGCTTCTTACGGAGCCACTCCTTAGTTGCCCTGGCTGTATGTTTCGGGTCATTGTCATGCTGGAAGACCCAGCCACGACCCATCTTCAATGCTCTTACTGAGGGAAGGAGGTTGTTGGCCAAGATCTGGCGATACATGGCCCCATCCATCCTCCCCTCAATACGGTGCAGTTGTCCTGTCCCCTTTGCAGAAAAGCATCCCCAAAGAATGATGTTTCCACCTCCATGCTTCACGGTTGGGATGGTGTTCTTGGGGCTGTACTCATCCTTCTTCTTCCTCCAAACACGGCGAGTGGAGTTTAGACCAAAAAGCTATATTTTTGTCTCATCAGACCACATGACCTTCTCCCATTCCTCCTCTGGATCATCCAGATGGTCATTGGCAAACTTCAGATGGGCCTGGACATGCGCTGGCTTGAGCAGGGGGACCTTGCGTGCGCTGCAGGATTTTAATCCATGACGGCATAGTGTGTTACTAATGGTTTTCTTTGAGACTGTGGTCCCAGCTCTCTTCAGGTCATTGACCAGGTCCTCCCGTGTAGTTCTGGGCTGATCCCTCACCTTCCTCATGATCATTGATGCCCCACAAGGTGAGATCTTGCATGGAGCCTCAGACCGAGGGTGATTGACCGTCATCTTGAACTTCTTCCATTTTCTAATAATTGCGGCAACAGTTGTTGCCTTCTCACCAAGCTGCTTGCCTATTGTCCTGTAGCCCATCCCAGCCTTGTGCAGGTCTACAATTTTATCCCTGATGTCCTTACACAGCTCTCTGGTCTTGGCCATTGTGGAGAGGTTGGAGTCTGTTTGATTGAGTGTGTGGACAGGTGTCTTTTATACAGGTAACGAGTTCAAACAGGTGCAGTTAATACAGGTAATGAGTGGAGAACAGGAGGGCTTCTTAAAGAAAAACTAACAGGTCTGTGAGAGCCAGAATTCTTACTGGTTGGTAGGTGATCAAATACTTATGTCATGCAATAAAATGCAAATTAATTACTTAAAAATCATACAATGTGATTTTCTGGATTTTTGTTTTAGATTCCGTCTCTCACAGTTGAAGTGTACCTATGATAAAAATTACAGACCTCTACATGCTTTGTAAGTAGGAAAACCTGCAAAATCGGCAGTGTATCAAATACTTGTTCTCCCCACTGTATATATTTTTTATTACAGCTTTTCTGCTACATATACATACATTTTACATACATGGTACTTTTATATAAAGCAGTCATATAACAATAATCAATTACCAAACATAAACTCTTTAATCCCACCCCTCAGCCACTCTCATCCAATGTCCCCCTGTAGCTCAGTTGGTAGAGCATGGCGCTTGCAACGCCAGGGTTGTGGGTTTGATTCCCACGGGGGGCCAGTATGAAAAAAAAGAAATGTATGCACTCACTTAACTGTAAGTTCCTCTGGATAAGAGCGTCTGCTAAATGACAAAAATTTAAATATCACCATAGACCCCTCTCGTTTGGTTTCCATGTGCCATATATTTTTCAATTTTGCTGTGATGATTTACATACATTTTCAACCTTTCTAATCATATAGTATCCACAGAGTGTGAGCTAAAGATGAAAACCTTTCCTACGAGTATTATTATATTATTTATTGACTGACTATGGCTTTCCAAATTGTCCAACACTGCTATTTGTAAGGTTAATTTTAAGTGAATGTTGTGAT